AAAGAGTTTGATTATACTGCCCATCATCATATGGCCTATTTTTGACCTTCAGTTCTAGAAAACAGATGGCTCGAGATCAAGCAGCAAAAGCGCAAGCTGCCAAAGGAAAGCAGGACCAAGGGCAACAGTCAAATGAAGGGAAACAATGAGGCTGTAGCTTGAGCTTGATGCTGTCTGCAAGGCGGAAGGCATCCGCTGACCAAACATTGATCTGGTTGCATTAAAGTGATCAATATGTCGAGGTTTAATAGCCTAGATTAGTGTCGTGTCAATATAGGCCTTGCAATTTTCTACGTGTTTAGCAGCTCATTATAAAACACTCCCCTTCCCTGTTGATCCAGAGTAATAATCGAGTGTAATTGCCAAATTCCAGTTTCGCATCGCTTGCTATCAGACACCAAGCCATATCCACACAAGAATCCTACAACCTATAACGCCTTGAAGGAGATCGGACCCTGCCCAAAACCTACACATTCTTAGGAACAGCATATAACGGCTGCAGTCGCCCCAAACGATCGCAAGATCCAAATTTCCACCAGTCGCTGTGAACCCACCATGCAATGTATCTAACGACAAGGACAATGATTTTTGGTGCTGGCGGCCAGTTCTTCCAAAGGCCTTCCTCATACGTGATGTCGTGGTTAGAGAACCCCCAACATACACCAGTGAAGAAGCCGAGTTTTTTCTGATACGTAGTCAGCGGGAAAACATTCATCTAGAGCCAAGCTGTTTAAAACCACGCACTATATTGTTAGCATCCAGATCAATCATACGTTGTTCTAAGCTTGCCATCTTTTCGTCTCCAAACCGCCTGAGGTTCTGAAGCGTCGGTATTTCATCACTAAGGTGTTGGGTGAGTGCCTCCCCGAACGAGTCAATGAGACCCGTGATACGTTGCCCATCATACTTTTCTTTTCCGTCTCGAACAGCCTGAAAGTATTTGTGAAGGATTGTGACGCCGTCATGGAAGGCTGCATGCTGCTTAATGTTCGCGTCCATTACTCCCGCCATCCCAGTAAGATCCTCGACCGCAGGAAAGAATCCAGTCTCTTCTCCATCATGGTGAATCTCAATTTCCCAACACCAACGCATAGCATATTGAACGAATGCTTCCTGGTCCTTCGGTTGGATGTAGGGTGCTTGAAGATAGACCGAATTCAAGCCGCGAATGATCATGCAGTGGGCTACCGCCATTCCCGATGCAACGCGGTCGTACATATCAGGCTGCCAGAATGTCAGAGAAGCTTTTAAGAAAGCAGCCTATCTTTGAAATTTACAAACCACATAGTCTTTTGAGTCTTGAACACCCTTATAAGCTGGTGTTGGGATTAGCTGGAAGGGATGATCAGCATACGCGACCATTTTGGACACTGCAGAGCCTCTTCTATGTCTTTCGATTTCTTGACGAAGGGATAAAAACAAAGAGAGATGGAATTTATGTATTAATTCTGGGGGAACACTGCAAAAGGGTCAGTTATATAGAAGCCAGGCCAAACCCAAAGATGTTTGCTCCGCTCCGCCGTCCAGCCGTATCAACAATCAAATTAAAACACTGCGCATGACTAAGACCTGCATTCCGACCATGCTGTCGGAATTTCTACATCGAGAGAATAAGAAAAAGAGCTGACAGGTGTGAAAGTTGGTACCTGTGGTACTGCACCATTGAGCCAATTTCGGAGAGTGGCGCTCGCTTCAGCGGCCGCCCTAGTGTACGATTCCGCCGTCAGCGGCATAACAACCAGTCAAGGGTGTGATATATATAATGGCCATTTGGCTACTCTAACAGCCTCATGAGTATGATGCTCTAGGTAATCTCGTTAAGCTTCGACAAACCTCTTCATCAGGCTACTTAGAAAAAAGACAATTGTAGTTTAGAATAAGCTGAGTAAGTTTGATAAAGATCGATTAAGGGCTAAGCTAAAGCTGAGAGACAGCATAGACGCTCTAAAGCAACTACTCATGCTGACTAAGAACCTGCTTGAGTTTCGCAACGCTTGGAAAATGTTCAAATATACTAATGTTAATGTCTCACGTGACCCTAGCAGATTATCCCCACCTGCCGACCAGAGACCGACTCCAAGCCCATTCTTATCAGGGTGAGCTCCATGGACCGCCATACCCGACTCTCTCTCCTAAGACTGTCAAGCTGGAAGTGTTTCTACATATGCGTTCTCGTTATTGAGGTCCTCCATGAACCAACTCGGATGTCTGAACATCTAATCATAGTTGAATGACAACAGACGTTGATTTGATAGCTTGTAGTGGGCAGTGCGACATTCCAACTACGATATCGAGGCAGTGTGTGGTGTGACTTATGCTGGGAAACTTTCCTACACTTGTCAGACGATAGATGCCGGCGCAACCGTGTCTTCTTTCTCTGTCGTTCGACACTGTGGCATTGGCGGTTGGCGAGACGTTATCCGGATTATTAGTACCGCAGGATTACTCCCATCAGCCACTCAAGATAGCCAAATGCACGTTGTTCCCCACAAAGAGCTGTGACGATGACGACTCCAGCATCAACAATGCAGTACAGTGTCGACTTTAACACACATGATGGACCGCAACCCAAACGGCCCAAAAAGCTCGCCTGCCAGCGATGTCGGCGTCGAAAGGTAACGAGATTCTGCCATCCAACAAACGGTAATATAAACTAATTGCAACCTACAGCAAAAATGTGACGAGAATAGACCATGTGCCAACTGTGTACGGTCACGAGAAGAATGCCAAGAGCAACCATCACGCCCTGCATGGGCAGCGTCAAAGTTGGTCGCTGGATCTATTTCTCGAAACTTAGACTAATAATGGAACAATGCAGCTCGACAAACCTACCCTACCCACCACTCGAGATTTTAGGTGGTCTTGCGTCTTTAGAGCAAAGGATTTCTCAGCTCGAGAAATCTCAACATTGCGAACGGGAAGGGGTGTTGTCAGACTCTGGGGAATCGGACCCAATAGATGTGCACGAGCCGCATGTGCACACACCTGTTGAGGTTCATGTTGACCACTACAGACGAGCCCAACCGGATAATTCATTATTGTCGGATGGCATAAGTGGCATCTCGCCTGCTGTTGGGCTGCTTGGTGCTCTCGCAAGCTCAGAGGCCGAGAATGCTGCCCATGAACTTTCTAGTGCCTCTGGCAATCCTCATGAGCCGATTGGGAACAGCACTATGAGCCAGACGCCATCAGAGTCGCTAATACTGGATCCGAACAGTGAGAAAGCCCTTTTTCGGATTTACCGAGACAACGTTCAAACGAGGTACCCATTTCTTTGCCTCGAAACAGTCAAAAGGGTCAATCAGCGAGGGAATGACCTTGCTACGGCATACTTTGCCAATATGATCGCCGCCGTTGGTTTGTTGGTCAGGAAGCCTGATGAGGTCAGACTTCCTCAAGCATATCATCAGACATTTTACCGTACAGCCATCACGCGATATCTTCCTCATGTATTTGCCAGGCCTGACCCCATAGCACATATTCAGGCCTATTTGCTCCTGGCAATGCGTAAGCAACTTCTGGAGTTTATTTTCACCCTTTTAGCCATGTTTCGAGTAATAGAGATAAAGAAATAGTCCCAAGCTGGGCATTTGCTCTCGAGACATCTCTATTCAGCATTTCCCTACCCTTCCACTGTCCTTAGAAGGCATTTACTGACTCCAGATGTCATAGATGCCCTTTTCTCCCCATCGACTCACAGACTCATCTCAGTCACCTCAGCTGCGATGCGCTATTGCATAATGGCCCAGCTACATCGTGCTGATGCCGAACCAGATGCAAGAGATATTCAAAGCAAAGTTGACATTCAGCTTAGGAGACGCATTTTTTGGACCACTTATGTCCTTGACCGAGCTGTCGGCACTATGTTTGACCTTCCTTTCAGTATCCCAGACCATCAGATAACGATCAAAATGTACGCGAACATCGACGATACAGAACTTCATCAGCGATGCCAGGAAGCCTTTCCAGATGATCCAACAAGCCAGCCATACTACACAAATATTTCTTCGGCTCTTCATGTCGTCTACTGCAGACAGATTCAATCAGAAATTCTTAATACTACATTACATAAAGACTTCGATGAGTGCTTCGACAAGCAACATCAATGGCGTCGTCGTATCTTGGAGAAACTGGATCGCTGGAAGAAGCTAGTCCATCGATATACCAACTCCCAATCAGGCATCTACATGGCCCAAGAAGAATGGCTGCAAATGATATATAATTTCAGCCTTGTTATGCTGTACCTCCCTAACAGACAAACTGCCAGTGGTCCAGCCGGCGAGTGGACGGTCAAGGCTTGCGTGCGAGCTATACTCATTTTCCGCAAATTTCAGCGAGAATTGTCCATCAGTGAAGCATGGATGGGACTCATAGCACAATTCAAGTGTGGTGTCTCATTACTCTACTGTTTCTTTGCCACGCCGCCTTCGGCAAGGTCCGCAGTATATGATCCTGTAGAGGCTTCAGAGGCAGTGCGCGCCTGTAGCATCATTCTCTCATTGCTCGCGGAACGATGGCCAGTGTCAAAATGTCTCAGGGACACTTTTGATATTCTTGCAAGCGAAGTGCCGCTCGTTGAAGCTTTCGCCGTTAGTTCCGTCTCGCATCGAAGGAGGATACGTGTTGAGTCTGCACAAAAGCTGTTAAACCTGTTGCCACAAACGAAAACCCTGGTCGTGCACCGTGTCACGCTTCGAATGATTAAGGAGATGGCCACTCAGGACTTCTGCTGGATAGTCGAAGCAAATCAAGTTCCTGGTCAACCACATGAGTCCAACGAGTCAAACCTTGTTTTGGAGAACGATGCATCGCCTCTAGGCACCGTTGTTACAGGCGAGCTCTTTCAGCCTGTGACTCCACACTTCTTCCCACTGGACATGTCGGAACTGGAGCACGATCCCTTTGATTACACATCACTCGGGTTTCCTGATATATTCGATACAGCAATGTAGATATTTTTATTGATCTTTGGGAAGCCATTCAGACTTTGATTGATAGCTCTAGACAACCCTGCCAGTAATCTCTTCCCCATCAACAATATCGAAGAATGCGTCGGCCAAGTACCCTCCTCGCGCCGTTGGCTTGCCTGACTTGTCCGTGGGCATACCTGCAATGGCTGGTTTAGCAACATCGCGCATGTAGCCTGCAATGCCCTCCTTTCTAAGCTTCTCGGCAAATTCTTTGGCGTGGAGGCTGAGGCCTTGTGTCGCCCAGATGGGCTGGACTTGCCACACCACGCCCATCTTTGCAATGTCTGAGGGGAAATTTTCGAACTCCTCTTGCGTGTATCCTGCTTTGATGAAATCGTAAGCGCCCATGTAGCCAAAGCCGAAAAGGCGGTTGGGGAAGACCTTGCGGACACCAGTATGGAAGTCATGCATGTCTTTCTTGTCTACACGAATGATCAGTATAATGGGAAGCTACGCTGGGGTCATGTGAAGCTCACTAGGCTTATCTATCCCATTCGTTAGCATTAGCGTGCTCATAGGCTAGAAATGAGGCTATGTCGTACCTTGTCTACTCCAAGTCACATCGCCTAGAGGTGCAGCAAGAATGGCTCGTTCAATCACAGCCTTTGTGCACCATTGCCACATGTATTGACCATATGGAGTTCTGGGAAGTTCCCAATCATATACGATATCTTTTCCAGTAACCTTCTTTGCGATAACTCGCCGTTCTGCTAGCGCGACAATCTTGTCTTTCACCTCGGAATCGTAGCTGCTATACTCGTCATCGGTGGCGACGGCCTTAACAGCATCATCGAAGGTCATCAGACCTGCCGATGCTTTCCACTCCTTTTTGATGGTAAGATACTCTTTGCCAGCTTCTCTACCTTTGGCAAGAGCTTCGCAAAAGGAGGGGACTTGCTTAGTTGCGCCAAGTACGTAGGAATGGTCTCGGGGGTCAAGAACACTGAAACAAGGCGTTAACCTGCTAGTTCTACGCTCGACGAGATGACAAGAACAGACCTTGTGATGAATTCGGCATTGTCGCTATCGCAACGGCACATTAGCATTGTGTCGGCACTGTGATCAGCATTGTTAGCATGGGCGCTTGCCGCTCTGAGAGCAAATTGGGATATGTGTGGCCGCTGTACCCCATAATATCAAAAGTCATTCTCACAGTCGTCAATCGTGATAGATATTCAGAGGTAGGCACAATTGTCCTGCCTTCGCCGTTGGTGAACTTCTTCAGTCCCAGAGCTAGGTCATCCATGTGAATCATGGCAACACCAGACTCGACAAAGGACCGTGTTAGTTTCATACAACCCGTTAGAGTACCAAAACCCATATCAGCATCGGCGACAATCGGCATCATATAATCTATGCATTCGAGAGACTTGCGGTCCTCCTCTGAGTACCGCATGCGCAGCTGTGTTTGCCGCTGGTCGTGGAACAGCAGCGTGTTGAAGATGCGCTTCGTTACAGCGGGAACTGTGTCTGCTGGATAGTCTGCGTGATCCTCTCCAGGCCATGTGGCCTGAGAGATACCACATAGGCCGCCAGAGACGTAAACCGTCTGAACTGTTGGCTTGAAGTCAGACCATATCGACCCCTACCATTTAGGGCTAGGCAACTTACGGTGTTTGGCCATTTCCTTCACAATGAGCGGCTCAGTTGTGCCAAAGGTGATTTCATATGTTCCGTTTGCATTATGCTCATTCAGAATGCGCCATAGTTTCCTAGCTTGAACACTGGAAGGGTATTCGATCTTGAACCCAATGTTTCGAAGGGCTGCAATGGATTTAGCGGAGTACGGTCTACCGGTGTTAATATGCTGCTATTGTTCAAGTTCAATCTTGGAATGGCACACAATTACCTCTTGATGTGTTTCTGACGGTCAGATTTCCACCAGGCCTCAATCTCTCTTACTTCAGCATCGAATGCAGCACTCTCCGCCCCCACGTCTGGCCACTTCTGTGACATTTTGAGTGCCGTATGCTTCAAAGCTTGTAGAGTTTGATTTGTTGATGGTTGTGGTCGAGATCTGTCATTTGAACAGAATTATCTTGGGAACGATGTCAACTTCGAACGGCTTTTGTTCGGAGGAGCTCGCTCTCCAATCAGAGACACGCGCGCGCAGGGTAGCTAGCCATATTCATACTGTTCGGATCGGCCATGAAAGCCGCCCATATTGATATCAAGATAGGTTGCTTTGGTGGAGGCGATCCGTTCCCATCGCATGACCCGATATCATTATCGTTGGTACACGACGTAGGAACTCCACGATGTGGGTCATACATTTCGGACGTAGCTTACCTAGCGTCCGATGACAGGTGAGTGTGACGGCGGCCCAAGTTCCTAGCGCACCGCAGACTCACGCCCCCAATTAATAGCGCGGAGACCTACCTAGTAGTAAGTAACCAGGGATCTGACAGCTTAGGACGTGTATGTATACAGTTTCGTGTAGAAAGTAAGTTCGAAGCGAAAATATATGATTCATGAGCTGCTATCTGCGGTCTATATATCAAACATATCACACATCTCAAGCTTCAATTAGGCTTTGGGGAGATCATATCAAAAGTCATTGTATTTTTCACCGTACAAAAATGGGTTCCTTAGAAAACCCGCCCGTAAGAGAGCTTATCAACCTACAACTCGGCTGGCCCTCGCCTTATCTTTTCGCTAGTAAAGGTCTCCTATCAGGCGCGCAAGCTGTTCTCACATCCGAATCTGACGTGGCCGCTGCCCTTGTATACGGTCCTCATACTGGTCATTTACCGTTGCGTAAAAGTGTAGCCGCATGGTTGACCTCTATGTACAACCCCCAACCCGGGTCAGTTACATTTGAGAGAATTGCTATCAGCAACGGCGCGTCTGCAAATCTTTCCAACGTTCTTTGCAGGTTCACCGATCCATTGTATACTCGGAGGGTTTTCATGGTAGAACCTACCTACTTTTTGGCGTGTCCGATCTTCGAGGATAATGGATTTCACGGCAAACTGCGTGGCGTACCTGAAAGTAGTGAAGGTATTGATATTGATTTCTTGCGCCGAGAGTTTGACCAAGCAGAAACCAGTGCAGTTCAGTCAGCGAGATCTCAAGGCATCCCCGATATTCCCCAGTTGAAGACGGGGCCCAACTACCCCAACAAGATATACAAGTACGTCGTCTACTGCGTACCGACATTCTCCAATCCTAGTGGAAAGACATTTTCCCTGGAAAACCGGAGGGCACTTGTCAAGCTCGCCCGAGAGTATGACGCGCTCGTCATCTCGGATGATGTTTATGATTTTCTTAGTTGGCCCGCGGACCAGAGGGCGGCAATAGATGCTGTTGCTCCGCCTCAACCGCGCTTGGTTGACATTGACCGAGAGCTACCGGGGTTTAGCCATTGGGGTAACACAATGAGTAATGGCTCTTTTTCTAAAGTAATTGGACCGGGAGTTAGAGTCGGTTGGGCCGAAGCGTCGCCAGCGTTTATCCAAAATCTAGGTGAAGTGTGAGTTCGTTGATCATGCGTCAAAATTCTCTGCTTGTCATAGATACTAATACTTCTCAGTGGTTCTTCTAGTTCAGGCGGTGCCCCATCGCATCTCACTTCCACGTTTGTCAACAAGATGCTTGAAACAAATCACCTGCAAGAATATATCCAAGACACATTGATACCCACCTATCGGAGTCGTTATAATACTCTTCTTTCCGTAATCGAGACGCAGTTGCTTCCCCTAGGCTTGGTCATCGAAAACAATCGGTCGGCGCACTCAACACCCGCTACCGCTGGAGGATATTTCTTGTATCTCCGATTGCCTCATGACTTACCAGCTGCAAAGACGGTAGCAGCGTTCGCGTTTCAGATTTACTCACTCCGAATTGCCTTTGGGCACATGTTTACGGTGGCCGGTGATGAGGACAGTGTTCGTCGTGCTGAGTCAGAGAAAGGATTCTCTGATTGTATTAGACTTTGTTGGACATGGCACAAAGAAGATGTCATCACTGACGGAGTATATAGACTAGCTGCTGCTATTACTGATATTCGTAAGAGGATGCAGGCAGGGGAAGAAATAAAACATTCGGTCATTGGTATTAGATAGATGTGTAATTATAGACTCGATGGATTTGTCTCTCAAATACTGAAAAACGGCACGGGTTAATGGCCGGTTCATTTTACCATTCAGCATTTGTTGTCAATATTCAAGTTTGGACTTCTTATCGATTCCAACACAACCCGTCAAAATAACGACGTCTTTCTCTGAACGAGCATGCCTATTGTATCCCATTCTGCGAGTCTATAGCAGGTCCCCTGCTATTTTCAGTCACCAATCGATTATTCCTGTATGGCTTCTTCAGATTCACATCGCTCACGATAGAAGCGCAGGTCTCTTCTGTGATACCTTCGGACGCTAGGAAATGGGGTCCTATCGGAGACCAACACACCTACAATCATTAGACTGATGGGCCCATACCAAGCCCCGCACCGCATCCACATCCCTATCAATCTCCCGGGGTTGGATAAGCAACAAATGGACTACAAACGTCTGATGAGATAGGTATTGGTCGCCAGTCGTATGCCAAGAGTTGGAAGCATGGTCCAGTTGATTTGGAAAAGAAGGCCTCTCTTGTGTATTTAGATCCTCCCGTCATGCCTTGCCTAGAAACCCTGAACTCGACTACCCTTCTCTCGTCCTCTGTCTCTAAACTAAAAATCGCCACCATAGTAGACCATTGAGACACGCTGCCGTCATGGACCGAGTCGAGAGCACGAAGCTGACCAATAATACTATGATTGATGTTGAAAGCAAGCTCGGTACGATACAGCCGACCAAACAGGACGATGTGGCAGCAGCGTACACGAGCTACTTCAACGACCATGAGTCTTTCAGTCAAAAAGAGGCTCGCTCCTTGCGCTGGAAGCTTGACAGGCGCCTGATCCCTTTGTTGATGTTCAATATCATCCTTGGAGCCATGGATAAGGTTAGCACATCCACCGGCGCTCTGTACGGCATGCGAGAGGATACGAATTCCGAGGGTGATCGTTACTCCTGGCTCGGCAGCGCATTTTACTTTGGCTACTTGGTCTGGTGCTTCCCTGCAGCTAGCCTTTTGCAGAAACTGCCCATTGCCAAGTTGATGGCATGTGTCATCTTTCGTGAGTACATCAAAAGCTACTACATCTGACGTGGAGGCACTAAGTATCGGCCGTGAACACGATAGTCTGGGGCTGTCTTCTCATTGCGACCGCATATACACGTTCTTTCCCTGCTATGATTGCAATCAGGGTTCTGCTGGGAATTCTAGAAGCCCCTATTATTCCCGGAGGATACCTCATGCTTACAATGTGGTACACCCGCCAGTAAGTACTCAGGCGGACTTGAATCAATTGGCATTACTAACAGCGACTGCAGCGAACAGTCTCTGAGGTCGGGGCTCATGTACACGAACTTGTCAACATTCATCATAGGACCAGTCGGTTACGGGTACGCATAAATAGTCATTCATTCAGCAACCTGATATTGTAAATTCTTGCTGATAACCGAGCCTAGGATCGGCGCGATAAGTGGAGGTCACCAATGGAGATGGTACTTCATCTTTCTTGGATCCCTGTCCTTGGTCTGGTCATTGATCATCGGTTTTTTCCTCCCCGACAACTTACCCAGAGCCAAATTTGTATCTGAACGCGAGAAAGCCATTGTCGTTGAGAAACTTCGGCCGGACCAGACCGGTATCGAAAACAAGTCGTTCAAGAAGGATCAGATGATTGAGGCACTCTTAGACCCGAAGACCTGGCTGATGTTTGCCTTCAATGTCTTCGTTAGTATTCCTAACGGCGGATTGACTAGTATGTGTCTTCTGTGCATTTTGCGCCCTCAACTTTTGCAATGGTACCATGATTGACAATTTGAATAAGATTTCCAAGCATTAGTCATCAAAGGTATAGGTTATAGCTCGCGTCAGGCGCTCCTGCTCACTATCCCTGAGGGTGCGGTCGCAACAGTCTCGGCATGGCTATGCAATGGCGGAGTTTGGTATCTCACCCGGCGCTGGCCGAAGCTGCAATGCCGTGTTGGTATTATTATTGCCGGAGAGCTCGTTGGGATGATCGCGTCGGTCTTTCTCTACACGCTCCCCATCGACAGCGTTAAGGGCCGCCTAGCTGCACTTTGGATGGCCAAGTTCTTCCTGGGACCGTACATTGTCAGTCTTGCACTGAATGTTGCCAACATCGCGGGCCACACCAAAAAAGTCACCGTACAGGCGGTTATCTTCATCGCTTATTGCAGTAAGTCTGCGCGCTTTCTCATGCATGGTATCATTAGCCGCCTAACGTTACGAAATCATAGTCTCGAACATCATTGCACCTCAATTTTTCAAGGCCAGCCAGGCACCACTCTATGCCATGGGCATGGGAGCCATTCTAGCTGGCTATGTACTTGCAATCATCTCCATTGCTTTATACGGGTTCTACTGCTATTGGGAGAATTGCCGCCGTGCCCGCATTGATGATGCCAGAGGGGAACGTGTTCACGTTGACACAGACTTCAAAGATCTCACGGACAGACAAAACATCCATTTCCGTTATGTGTGGTGATTGCCCTCAAGGTCATCGACCATTTGGTTTAACAGTGTGTGGTAATAAATAAGTGTGGCTTGTTAAAGTATTGCCATGCAGCAGTCATAAATCAGACTTAGAAAGAATAGCAGACCCAACTTCATCCAGTCACCGTAACTTGAGGACACAGAGAAGATCACACAAATGGGTATTGGGAAAGTCACTTATATCATTTGTTCTGAAGAATTTGAGTGACCCAAAGTGGATAGATCTCAATGTGGGGTCTTGTCATTAGCTGTTAATATGTGTAAAATTTGGCCTGAAAGTCAGTTTAAACTACAAGAGAGCCAGGATCTTAAGACTAGAATAAAACATACTAAAATTGCTTCCTGGGCAACTCATCTCAGGAACGATTTATGCACATAGACCAAAGCCCAACAATCCAGCTGACTCAATATCTCTTGGCGAAATGCATCTTCCTTAAACCCGACGAGGTGAGAACCAGTCAAGGCATTGTAGCCCATTATTTGTCGACAGTGCTAACTGAATATCAGGCCTTTTCTATCTACGATTGCTGTAAACCCAATAGAAGGCATATCGATTGATCTTATATGCTGCAGGGATACTCAGGAACAGGCCGCCCGCAGGCTCTACCATGACGCCAAGATCATATCTCGCATATCTCATGTAAGAGGGTAGTCCCAAATACGGAGATTACGTTGTAAGGATATTACTCTAGAACTTGCACAATAGACTACACGATCTGCAAAGATCAGCCACTACGGATTGAGTTTCTAGCTTCTACAAGATGAATAAGGCCACTGCACGCTGCAGCGCCAAAACTATGCGTTGCTGGTCGCACTTTCTGTGGTTTCGAGAGCAGGTAGGATGCACGGCTCGCTAGGCACCTAACATTATGCCAAATTGTTGATAGCATGGTATTTATGTGACCATAGCTTCCCACATGACACTCTCCTGGGTCTTGCAGCTAAAGACTAGGTTACACGGCGGCTTGAGACATCTACGTCCACACTGACCAAGCGTTGAATTCACAGATGGACTGCTTGAGAAACTCTTATTCGTATCAAGAAGAGGGCTCTATTCTCGGCTTGGGATCCAAGCGTCTGAAAGTGCGGTTTGATGCGGGAGGTTTTAAGGTTATGAGATCTTCAAGTAGGTTAATCCTTACTATTTAGTCTAGTCTAAGTCTAATGTTTGCTAAAGTCGCGTGAGATCTCTTCTATAGATATAGATTAGTTTTGTGGTGCTTGACCTTTATCTTCGAAGAGTCTGGTATAAGTCAGCTAGTCTGTCTTGATACCTTGTCGCCCAACCATAATGAACAAACGCATACTTGGATACACAGCAGGGGCCATAAGCACGAAGCTATGTCCACATTTACTTAGGATTCTCAACCAGTTTCAAGCTCTGGCCTTTACTCCACTAGCTATTACCCATTTAATTCTATACAGTACACAACAAGTTTGATTGAGTATGGTGACCGAATGACGTTTGAACGCTGCGATAGCCTTCAACGTACTCATACAGGGCGAGGCTTTCGTAGAAGAAAGGAGAACGAGAAGAAAGATAGCGGATTGCAATGACCGAGGTGATTCCCCAGATCTCGATTGAGTTTCACGTCGAAAGTAGTTCAAATTAACAAAAGCAACTTGAGACTATCGGCTGCTGTGCTTGATTGATCGTGCACAAATCAAAACAACCTCGTGAAACAGAATTCATAAAATAATCACCAGCGTCTGCATTGTGAGATGTCTGCCAACAAATACAACATCTCGACACTTGTAATCTCTCGATTGCTACTATGAGCGTTGAGCATAGTTCAATTAGTGTATCGCAGAGCGAAATACTGTTGAAGATGGCGAAGAAGTATCCACAATCGAATCGCATAAAGTTCTAACCAATAAATGGCAATTGCGAGGAATAGAGATATATTAAGTCAGATCATTAGATATCCAAGGTAGCTCTTCATTTCTAATATCAAGTTCATTTATATCTGCGAGCTCCCCTGAACCGACAGCTTAAAAAGCCCTTGATTTAGGGACTTGTGTTTGAGCAGACACTGTGAGATAAAGTGTTACGAAAGGGCCGCGCACCGATTGATCCTTCCCAAAGCAGCACTTCATTACCAAGAACCGTGCGAATTTATGCAGAAATGCCGAGTAAATAGCTCCCCGTATGTTGTCTGCGGTTCAATGGCTAGTACCTGCATAGAAGGCGGCAAAACCCATCAGCGTCTTCGTGTTAATTCGCGCTAGAAGATTCCATACAGCGGTAGTCATTCTTGAGTCTGCAACCTCGAGCTCCATCGGTTCGAACCGACGGCGCGAAATGGAATCCCGAGTAATAGTGTGCCAGCGCTCTTGTTGATGTAGTCACGCTCCGAACATCACAATTCTAAGGCATCTATGGGTCCGTCCAGCATTTATACCACAATCCGTTTACGGACTCGGACGCTCTGCTCCACTAGACCAGGTACCAGCCCAGACCGGATATTTTCTCGGTAAGCCGGCAGGCGGGACTTTTTCCCAGTCCTCACTCCGTTCTAGCCGGCGTTGAATGGTAATTTCCCAATTTAACCCAGATACACGTCATTTTCTGCCTCTGTTTCCATTTGTAGTCGGTTGCCTTATCATCGCTTCTCATATAATCCCCGCTTCATGCCAATATCCAGCATGTCTTGGAGAACTGGCTCCACGTCGCATTACTACGCCCCGATCATACTTGACTCGGCGCGTTTTCTACAAACTCTCATTATCCGGAGATATAAATCCATCCAGCCATGTAGCTGAAGTCTGGTTTTCCTGACGCTTGTCTTTTCTATGTCAATTGCTCCTGTACCCCTTGAAACAGTTGTTCGTCGTGGCCCAGTGTGAAAATGCGGCTGACTGGACTCACAATAACGACGGCGCTGTTGTTCGCGGGTGCCGCTCTCGGCTCCTATGCTGACTATAGCAACGATGCGAGGATCGAGAATCAAGCTGGTTCTCCGCTAGAAGCTCGGCGCGGACGTCTTAATGAACCAAATGACTCATTTGCAAATCAAATGCGCCGGGACGGGCTCGCTGGGATGAACATGCATTCGCTCCTTCAGCAAAGACAGGGAAGTGGCGGCCGGTGCGGAGCGGACAATGGGGGCCAGAGATGCGCTTCTCCTTTATGCTGCTCTCAATTTGGGTACTGCGGTGACTCGAGCTATCACTGTTCAGACATTGCAGGATGCCAAGCCCAATACGGCGCGTGTGAGGGTTCTATGCCATCATCAACTTCATCATCGACCACCTCGACCACCTCAACCACTAGCAGGCCGACATCGACAAGTACAAGTACTACAACTACTTCTCGAAGTAGTTCAACCACGTCCTCCACGGTCGGGCCAACGGGCACACTAGTCGCGAGCACTAACGGCATGTGTGGCAACTCTACCACGTGCGCTGGGACCGGCTTCGGTTCATGCTGCTCAGAGTTCTTCTGGTGTGGTAGCGGAACTTCATATTGCGGAACTGGGTGCCAGCCAGAATTCGGGTCTTGCGGACAGGCCCCTCCAGCACCGGGAACCACGTCAACGAGCACCACCCGACCCGCTACTGTTCCAACAACTACTTCCAGGACCACGACATCGGCCGCGCCAACCAGCTCGGGTCCATCATTACCTGCAGGAATGTCTACAAGCACTGATGGGCGTTGTGGTGGGACCTCAAGTTGTATTGGCTACTCCGGAGGACAGTGTTGCTCGCAGTTTGGATTCTGTGGAGATGGCACATATTACTGCTCCGCCATCGCGCAGTGTCAGCCACAATTTGGCATCTGCGAAGGCTAGAAGTCTTTTATTGACGAGATATTGTGCTCAAAATATCGGATACCCGGCCAGCAGAGGAGTTTTGAAGAAGAGCGAGCCTAGAATGAACAGTTGGTGATTTTTTTAGAGGTACATAGGTAGAGCCTAGTGCACATAACCAACGTTTACTATCGGCCTACACCTTATAAACCTACACTTAATACAGGACTGGACATCTATATTCACAGGGTTTACTACCTACCCTTGCCTAGACACAACTCAGAGATAATCACCTCCCCAACTTTTATATCATGTCGAAATGAACGAACGTTCAACTATCCACAAGCAATACAGCAACTTTCCTAACTCGCTCTAATATCCCGAGCCTATCTAACCTTATCACTTAATCGGACGATTTGTTAGAACTTTTTTTTTTCTTTCTTTTTGGCATGGTGTGCCGCGCGTTTAGTCCAGGATCAGGCTGCATGCACATCTTAGTACCCCTGGAGCCGATCGACAGGTATCAAGGCCCGCCTAGATCCGGCCGCATAATGCCAGTTTCGTATGAATGATTTAGCTTTAATCACAAATGACGTAAATTCCGTTTTGACTGTTGTGATGGCCTTGATGGCATTGGCCTGGGCCGGTTGCTGTTCTCTTTGATCTCTATACTCAAGATCTCAATATGATCTTGTCACAACGACGGCACCACTTGGTTAATGTCGACTGGTGTGCAACACCCGCTTTATACGGAGATGAACGCTACTTGACTGCGTAAGGCTATTGCTTACCAAGACTTGTAAGCAAGCGCTATCATTTCTCTCCTTTGTCTGCGCCACTTTTAGTGTAATACTCCTTTTCATTGTAGGATTGCGGCGTAGGCGGCTGCAGCACGTCCTATACTCAACGGTCTAACCATCCGACCAAAACATCACTCACTTTAACCGTCAAATAAATCCAATCCTAAACTATTCTTGGGATTGAATAACAGCATTTGATACATCTCATAAGAGCCGATGTGCGGATGTAGATGTAGTTGACTGTTGCCCTGTAGGGCTAATAACCGCTGTCTCGCATTGTCCTACCTTGACACCCTGGCTAATTGTGTCATGCTGTGCCGCTCATTTAAGATTGTATTTTTCACTTTCGGATGGCCTTGATACTTCTGGACTGGATCAGGTGAGAATGAGAGGAGCGACAAGATTCTTTCAAACCTAGCCGTAGTAGCATTCTATGAGTTTAA